TGGGTGGACCTGACCACCCCAGTGTCTGGGGGTCATGTGGCCTCACCTGGAAAATCACAGAATCAAGTGAATGATTGATCATGTTTTGGATTCTGGAGGCAAAGGATTCCTATGTTGGAAAATGATTTTATCCAAATAATCCCAGATGGCAATATTCATAATAAACTGCCTTCAGTGGCCCTGGTCTCTCTCCTTGAAAATGCTGGCAGATGACTGTGGTACAGGTTACTTTGTGCTCGGGCATCAGGGAACATTTGTACAGATGACTAATTGGGAACACGTTGCATTCTATCTTATGTCGATAAAAATTCAACAGGAACAAGCTCCCCTTTGATCTGATGGCAGGACCCAGCTCAGCTACGATGAGATATATTTGAAAAGAACCAGGGGGGAATTCATAATGCATCTTGAGATCTCCTCTTTCAGACACCTGCACTAGTGCAAACCAAAGAAAAGAAGTCTCATCTGCAGCTTGTCTACTTGCTGATTTTGCAACGAGGGTCTCAGAAAGTCTGTGATTTCTTTGCCTGCAAGTGTTTTCATGTCTGGCCAGGTCCTAAGCTTTCAGTTGGGGTGGTGTCAACAGTTGAATTCAATTCCCTCCCAAATGGATGTGGTCTCTGTTGGTTCCCGTGGTCCAGAAGACCCTGATAAATGACCACGTGGAGGGTTCGTCATCTGCATTTGTCTATCAGGACTTGCCAAGTTCGACCGTGCTGGGAGGCAGAACCAGGCACCAAGGCAGGCGCAGCAGACTCAGGTCTGTCTCCTAGAAGCCACTCTTGTTACAGGGCAAGTGGGGTCCTGAGCAGGTTCTCACTGGGCTAAGTGAAGAGCCAGTGGGACTATCTTCCTGCTACAACCCCTACTTAATACAAGAGCTTGTGTGATTCATTAGACCCACTTAAGGCTCCCATGAACTTCCCATGTGACTATCATAGAAGAGCAGCCTGACTCTGGGCTGGGAGACCCTGCACCCCCTGGGCTTGGCAGGGTTGGGCTTTTGGTATGGCAAGAAGGACAGAGTCCCCAGACGTCGGCCTCAAGACAGTCACCTCAATGTGGGGCCTCCATGGAGATGATCGCATCCTAAGGGGCTTCAGATAGCAGAAGACACAATAGAAACCATTCCCATTCCTTGGAAATGTTTCAAAAGTGAACATGGAAGCAGAACTGGATTTTCCATCCTTCTTAGTGGAAAGCCAATGCTTCAGATTTACCGAACACACAGGTCAAAGTCTTGCCAGCTTGAGAATCACTTGTATTCATTGAAACCAAAAAATGATGCAATTGGGGGGTTGACCAGCATTTTTTTTTTCTTTTATTGCTCAGGGGGTTCCTCTTTATATTAATGTTCATCTGCATTTTACATGGGTGCTGAGGCTGCCAGAGTGGCACAGTGTAGCCACTGGCAAAGCAAGGAGCTCGCTGGGATTCCGACTTCCAGGCTGACCAGCTCCACCGGGGACATAGCCCCACATCCTGCACACAAAGTCCGTGCTCAGTAGAGATTTGAATGGTGATGGGTGGTGACAGGATCCTCCCCTCCTCAGAGAGTAAACCTGGAGCGGTGCGTGATTGTGGCTATGAATTCCGCAGTACACAGAGTTTACATGAGTTCTTTTTTCATCCTAAATGTCCCTTTCCAACAGGAATTCCTTCTCTATGAAGCGTTTTGATAGTAACTCAGTCAAGGACATTCTACGAACTAATCAGTTCTTGTCTGTCACCTGTCATTATGATCTGGTCCCCCGCCCCACATCCTGCTTTATTCCAAGAGATATTTAAGGCAGCTGCCTCCATTAGCTCCTTTCCATATTTGTGATTGGATCTACAGGGATTGTGCTCATCAGTGAGTCATGGCTTGCCACTAACTGCTTCTGAGAGCATCAGCGGAAGACTGCGGGTGCAGGGTTTGCAGTCCAGGCCTGGGCAACTGCCTGAGGGACAGTTAGAGACTGGGCAACTGCTCTCCCATCAGAGGACAGAAACGTGAACATCAGTGGACAAACTGCTGGAGAGTCTCGAGATGCCTGCTTGTTTCCATGCCCTTAGATTCCTGTCACTGAGTCACGCACACCCTATGAGAGCCTGCCTTTGCTTTCCCTGACTCTGTTCCCAGAACTGCTCCATGCCCTGCCCCGCCCTTTCCCTTCCACTGGCTCTGAAGGCCTGGGAAGACCTGCAGGAGGCACGGAGCCTGCGGGCCGTGATCCTGCCAGGGGCTCACAGAAATGTTTTCATTTTAATTTACTTAAAATCAGAAGAAAAAATGAGCATCACAATAATAAATGCAAAATAATGGATCCTGCCTGGATTATTTATCTTTATACCAACACAGTCATAAAATAGAATTTTTAATACTTTTTTTTTTATGGTGGAAGAGGCCCATAAAGGCAAAAGTGCCCAGGCTCAAGAAAGCCATCCAAGGCCCTGAAGACCCGGACTCTTCTGACTATTCTGAAATATTTGAAGGGCAAAAGTTCTTTTTTCCTCCTCCCTTCCTCTTTCTCACTCCCTCTCCCCCACCATGTGCCTAAGGACAAAACATATACTCGTAACAGCGGCAGGACAGCCTGCGCTATTAGGGGGACATTGATGGGAAGACAATTGACTGAACATCAAATGACCATAGCAGCCTCCTGGCCTCATGCACTGCCAAGGCACCCAGGACCAGGCTGGGACTGGACAGGTGGACCCAGTCTCAAGCTCACCCCCTCCTCATCCTCCTCTGGGTGATGTTGTTGAGCACCTACTCTGCACCAGGCTGATAGATGAGAAGGATCCACCTCTGCCCTGCAGGTCTCCCCTGCTAGAGAGGGACAGAGCAGCACTGGGGCCATGCCTGGGCAGTGTGCGTGACTGCAGGCTGGCGCTGGACTGTAGAGGCAGGAACTTGCAGGGAAGAGCTCTGGAGCCCAGAGCTGCAAGGCATGGGGGCGTGGAGTGTGAGCGTGATATAATCAGGCTGGTAGGTTAGAACCATCACTGTGCGGCCTGCTGATAATCATCGCAAGGGGACAAAACTGGAAGCAGGAAGGCAATGAGGAAACCAGCATTCACTCTGCTCCAACAGCACAAGGCAGCAAAGGCCTTTGGACTTTTGAGTATAAAGTATGTTATTATGACCACGGTTCCAATGGCAGCCATGAGGACTATCAGCGTTGCTGCTTGGGCGTAAGAGACAGGAGAAGGAGCAAACAAACTTAGCTGTCATTTACTACATGAAATCACAATGCCAAGCTCCAAGAAAGCAGAGCAAAAAGGCAGAGCGCCCCCCTATCTAGGAATATATTGTCTGGCCCAAGAAACAATGGTAAAGAGATTTTAATGCCAAGTGGCAGGTGAAGACTTGACAAGTGCAGACCCGGGTCCTCCTGGAGTTAGCGCGTGGCCTGGTAGCTCTCCCCACCTGCTCCTGCGGGGCTGGGGTTGAGCTGGTGTGGCTGGCGCTGGTGCCCCCTGCAGGTTCTGATGGGGGCAGGGGCAGGGCGTGTAGCGTGCCCACTGACAACTATATGGAGAGCCACCTTCACCTGGGCAGAAATGTCATTCCCATTTTCCACAAGGGGAGATGGAAGCAGCTCAGGGAAGTCAGGTCTGCCACACAGTCAAGGGGCAGAACCCAGATTCCTGCACCAAGGCGGCATGGGAGATAAGACTGGCATAAAGAACAGGCAGGATTTAGTGGGCAGGTGGGAGGCAAATGTTCCCAGCAAAGCTGAAAGAGCAAAGAAAAGGGTTAAAGAATTAACGTCAACGCCAGAAGCGTTTCACCATTTGTGTGAGGCAAGTCAGGTAATCTACACTCTAGACTTAATTTCTGCCACCAGAATTCTGTGGCTCTAACTTACCTTCTCTTTAATCCCCTCCCTTGCAAAATGGAGCACAATTTCGCCACAGGGACATTGCGTTCAATGTAGGAACAAGCCATCCACGTAGGCACTTTCAGGGGCTTAAGGCGCTGCGTGAGTACAGGATGTCATTGTTCAATAGACCGAGTTTACGGTGACTAAGGAGTTATGAGCAATTTGTGTGGGAGAAGACCCCGGGTATCAAGAGCTGCTAAGAAAGAGGATGCAGGCAAAAGCCTCGCGTGCCGCCGCTCCCCACGCCTGGTGCGTGGCAAGCTCATTATCCGCCCCCTTCTTCAAAAGGGTTTCTTCTGGCTGCAGAGAGAACGAGGCGCAGAGGCAGGCGCGGTTCCCTGGTGGATCGCGCCCTCGCGCGGCTGCTCCCCCGCGCGACAGCTCGGCCCGCGGGCCGCGAAGGTGGCTGCCGTGGTTCCAGAGCTGAGGGCGGGGGCACGCGGTGGGCGCTGTGCCCCCCACCGCCCCGTCCGCATCAGCGCCTGCCCGGAGGTTCCCTATCCCCTCCTCCCCCAACCCTGGACCCCGCCGCCCCCCAGACCCTCGCTTTCCCCAGCCAATTTGGCCTCTGAAAGCGGACTTTTGTATTTCTCTTTCTCCGTCTGTGTTCACAGACTATAATTGTGTTCCTATACAACCATTTAAATAATGGAAAGAATACAAAATAGAAAGTTTAACAAAAAATTACCCAATAGGCCACCATCTAGAAATAACTTTTAAAAAAAATTTTTTTGTGAATTTCATTCCAGAGGCTCCCTAAACCTATATGCAGAAGAATAAACTTAGGAAACTTATTATACAAAACAGCATTTTAGTGAACAGGTTTTTTTTTTGAAAAACAAAAGCATTCAGTTCCATCTTCATTGAACTTAACACATGAAACAGACATGAAAAGGACTGGCCAATTTCAGAGGCGTTTTCCTGTTGTTTTAGGCTGATAGCTTTGTATTCATTCTATTATTACAAAACATTTCAAACATACAACACAGTGAGCTGAAGACTAAAATGACCTTACACTTATCTACTATCTACTTTCAACAAATCTGAACATGCCCTTGGGTTGAGAAGCTTTTCTTCTTTCCTTAATACAAATCTTAAAATGAGAAAGGAATTAATTTAATGGAGGTATACTTGCGGCAGAACTTCCCAGCTGGCAGAGTTCGGTTCCTTGGTGCCAGACACTGGACATGACACCGCCGGTAGTGTCGCGCCCGCCTCGCCAGCAAGGAAGACCCGGCAACCGGAGTTCTTCTGACAGCGCTTTAATGGGGATTGCTTAACTAGTTACATGCGGAAGAGGCCGAGGCGTTCTCCGTGGCTGCTTATAAAGGCAGTAAGTACACTGGGCATTGTCTGATTGGATAAGGCACTTGGAAGGGAGGAGACAAACTCTGCACATGCGCTGAGCACTTGTTTGTCAGACTAACAGCAGGGTTTGACCAGGAAGCGGGCGCCATCTTGGAATGGCGTTGCCACCACGTCCCACACAGTAGTCTGCTGGGGGATGGGGGTGGGGCGGCTCAGAGAGCAAAGCAGCATGTTGGAGTGTAAGCACCAGAGCTGGGGTACAAATTCACAGGCGCTGGACTAGATCCTGGGTACTGGAGACGGTTTCTAAAGGGATGTGGAGCTGCATGGGAGATGCCTGGGTTCTCACGATGATGAGGAACAAAAAATCTAGGTGGATTTTTGGTGGTCTTAAAAAAGATTTCAAGACCAGCTGGTGACCTTGAAGCCCCATTATCCCAAGCAAACTGAGAGGAAATTCCATCTCCCTGATTTGCCTGAGAGAAGAGTTTGTTTGGCAAACTTCCCCACTGTTGGAAGTGAGATTGAGTAAAACATTTTTCAGAAGATGGTGGAACCTGGGCCTGTGGCTGGGCCACCCCGCTGGTGTCTCTGGAATTCAACCCCTTGTAATGAATCACTTCATTACCATTGAATCAAAACCCAGTGAGTCATGAGTCTTGGATATTAGCTACAAATAAGGGTGTTTTTAAAAATGGGAAAATTAAAAAATGATCGTAGGAGTAATCTAATTTTTGCAATAACTACTGAGGTTAAGAGGCAACAGTAAATATGTACTTCCTGAGAGCTTGGAGCTCCAAGCCAGGTGGCGGGAGCTTAGGGTCAGGGCTGAGGGTGGTCCAGCTACAGCCCCAACATCACAGAGGCAGTGAGGTGGGCCAGTCCGACACCAGGCACGCTGGTGCCCCCGACCCTGCCACCTCCAGGTGCCTCCCTCAGCACTACCCAAATCAACAGAGCACCAAAAGACCTGTGTAAGAATTGTGTCAGTCGGGTCACAGACAGGAGACAGAAACCACCCCAGTAATTTGAACAGAGAAAATGTACCATAAAGATGGATTATATTAACTAGTAACAAGGGATTCACTACTGAGGGGGAAACAGGACTCTAAAAACTAGCCTTGGGCTAAAGGAAAGTGCCAAAGGAAGAATCAAACTTGGCTGGGATTTAGACATCACTGGAAAGTGTGTTTACTGGGTAACATCTGGTTCACAGCCAGGGCCAAGGCTGGTGAGCAGAAAGCCTTCCCGAAGGTGTTAGCAAAAATTAATGGAGAGTGAGAGCCCCTGGGTATCTAACACATCACTAGCAGCCCTTCCATAGAAGCCAGAAGGGTAGGGTAGAGCACCCAGAACCAGGAGGAGAAGCCCCTTCCTTCTGCAATGTACTTCACTCTAGTGACAAATCTGGCAAAAGAGAAATGTTTACAGGGTCCAGCTCACAGTATCACAAAGCAGGACTGAGAAGTGTGCATTTGGAGTTAAAGAGCAATAAACTGCACCTAACTGCATCCTTGTTTGCAATAGTTCCAAATTGGACCTAACTCAAATGTCCGTCTATTAAAAAATGAATAAATAAGCAAACAGTGGTAGAGACATGCAAAGGAATAGTATACTGCAGCAAAAAATGAATGGATTCTAGCCACACACAACCACATGGATGAATTTGGAAACATGAAGATGATCAGGGTGAAAGAAGTAGTAGCAGAAAACATACTATGATTCTGTTTAATTCTCCCTTAAAGCTACTCCCAGCCTACTTCCACTATTTCCTAATAGTGGTCAGGGCCCAAGGAGGTCAACTTCACAGCAGTCTTATTGGTAGTAAGAAAACTTAGATATCTAAACGTTGAACTGCAACAAATACCCAGATGGTGAAAAGAAACCAGAATTAACATTAATAATGCAGCATTGGAGGCAGAAATAAAGAAAACTTAGGCAAATAAAATAAACTTAAGAAACTTAGGAAAATAAAACAAAAATAAACAAGTTCAAAACAAAGATTAACTAATAAAAAATAACAGTAAACACAAGACAGAGTGCTAGCATCCTTAATATGCAAAGAACAGTTACAAATCAACAAAAAATAAAAGAATGTCTCAATAAAAATAGATAAAGAACAAGGCTTGTGTGTCTGTCTTCAAAAAACATACAAGCCTCCACCAAGCTTCCTGAAAAGTTATAAAAGCTCGATCCTTAACAAGAACAAAATCTGGGCCAACGTTTAGGTTGCCATCCTGTCCTGAATTTCCTCAGAAAAAGTAGGAACTAGCTTTCTTATCCTTTAAAACTCACCTTAGAAGGCACCTCACTCAGGAAGCTGCTCCTGGCTCTTTCGGCAAAGCTAGGTACTCCTCCCACGTGACTTCCCAGGGCTTTGCCTGTGTCTCAGCACCCATTGTGGATTTATCCCCATCAGGGCAGAAGCTCGACCAGGGCAGCATCCCCAGCCCCCACACATGGTTTGGCAGGCAGTAGCCACTCAACAGGTGCTTCTTAAAACATTGAATGTGTGCATGCATGAAAACGAGTACAATAAAACCATCATCTTTAGCTAGGAGCCAAAATTTTACTTGACTCATCATGACACCTAGTGGTGAAGAATCTCCATTGCAGACCCAACAAAATCGGCATGACTGCTCTAGGTACCTGCATTTCCTCTGTCCCAGCAAAGGCCTTCTGAGCACCAGCTATGTGCCACCACCATAGATCATGTGAGTGCAGGGGACCCTTGGGTGAGTTGGTCAGTCCCCATCCTCTGGGGGTTTATAGTCAGAAGCGCCCACTGCCGCCAGCCACCACATAGAGTCAGCATTAGCATTAATATTGCACCGTTGTGGGGAGAAGGAAAGGAAACTCAGGTGCCAATGACCTCGGATGGAGAAGAGCAGCCTCTGAAGAAGCTGGACACTATTACATGGAGCTATCTCTTAACAGCAGCCTGTTTATCATGCCTTTTAAAGGCAGCTTGGGTTCTACATGTCAGAACATGTAGATTCTACATGTTCTACAGAGCATGTAGATTCTACGGTTCTACATGTCTCAGTTTTATTCCTGTCAACGAATACTGATAAAAGTTGATACTTCAAGCCACGCTGGTTTCCCTGGTCCCTCCACTCTGTAGGGAGAGGAGATTGAGGAGGGACTTTCATCCATGGGGCTCAGTCCTGCCTTCAACTTCTATTTCCTTTACCTCTCCAACCAGGCTTTAAAAAATCAATCCTAATTGGATAGCCATTTAAGAAGCAAAACAGAGCTGGATTTCTTTTACTAAAATTATAACAGAGCAAATGAAAGCAATAAAAAAAAACCAGAAAAAAATAGGTGACCTCTTTTTCACCTGGGCTTAGGTAAATTTTAGGTACTACCCAGAAGCCATAAAGGAAAGCACTGAAACATGTAGTTGTGTAACCCTTCTCTACAAAAATAAAATAAAACCAAGCAAAAATCAATAAGTTCAAAACAGATAAAATGAGGAAAAATAACAATAAACACATGACTAAGTGCTATTATCCTTAATATACAATGAAGTTACAAATCAATAAGAAAATAAAGGAATACTACAATGAAAATGGGTGAAGAACAAGTAATTCTTCAAGAGACATACAAATGGCCAATTATATGATAATTAAAATAAAATTGTTTGCTGTATTCATAAGGATTTAAAGACTTATAATATCTAATACTGACAAAGATATTTGTGGAAATGTAAACTGATACATTTCCAGAGGTAAATTTAGTAATATATTTCAAAATAGTAAATATATACATCTCTTACCCAGAAATCCTACTTCTAGGAATATATTCTAATAAAATAATTGGCCAAGTACATAAAGATACAACACATTCATCAAAGTAGAAGGGGTGTGTATGTGTATATACATATAAACATGAAACAATTTGTCATTCATTAACGTAAAAGAATAATTTTTAGCTATGAGCCAAAAAAGTACTTGATCATGTCATGACGAATAAATTATGGTATGCTGAGCCTATGGAATGCCAGTTAGCCATTAGATATGAAAATATAACTCCATATTTATTATTATGAAAAAATAGGTCCAGAACATATGGCTGAGCTTTAACAGCATTAAAAAAGAACTATCTGTAAATCCACATAGAGACTGTGGTTTGAGAAGATGCTCACCAAAATATTAGTAGTGAGTTATTATTATTTGTGAGTGGCTGGATTTAGGATCATGTTTACTTTCTTCATATACTTTAAAAAATGTTATGTGGCAAGAAGGTTTTGCTTTAAAACTAGAAAAACAGAAGCTGTTTTCATTAAAAGAAAAAAAACAAGCTCTGCCTTTCAAATAGATCTGATCCAGCTACTACACTTGACTGCTGCAGCAAGCGGTGTATAGAAAGTGCGTGACGTTTCTTAAGAACCACAGGAAAGCTACATTCTGAGATTCAAGGTGAGCTATGTGGTTCTTATTTTCCTCTGGAGTGACACAGTTCTTTCAAATATCCCCAATAAACCTAATGGCTACTAAGACCAATCCGTAACAATATACACTACAAAAATTCAAAATGTGAACGTGGCCGTCAGCTATGGCTTTGGGTTTTCCACGTCTCGGTCTCCAGTAGAGCTTCCCTGCCCAGAATAGACTCTTCCCCAGGCTCCCACTTACAGTAAATGTAATTACACTTTAATGGTATTCATCTCATTCTGTCACTTGTTCCATTGCTCTCCTATTTTTAACCAGCACAATGGGAACATTTGTCCTCTGATTCACTGAGAGGTTTTAGGCCAGGAGTCTGGCTTTTAAAATGACAGTACCTTTAATCCTATTGCTGACTTTTTAAATGAAATAACAGCCTGTAATTAAAACAATGGGGCACAGCTGACCTCAGTGGGATGAGACTAGCAACCCAGCACTGAACGCAAGAAAAAGAATGAACAACAAACAAGCCCCAAAGCAAGAAAAGGAAAAACAAGCCCCGAACCCGGCCTCCCGGCCCCAAAAACAAATCAAGGGCAAAAGCCCGCAACTCAACCCCCGAGAAAAGAAGCCCCGAATCCTAACAGTTGGTTCAGTTAGACACACCCAGCAGGG